TGTGCTGCAACTAGAGCAGGTTTCATTATGTTTGGATGTCCGACTGAGTTTACTATAAACGATATGAGCTATAATACAAAACTTATTTCTGGTTTTTACTACCAACAGTTTCCTATAACAGGAAAAGGTGTCATACAAGGAATGTCTATTCCATTGACATTAAGCACACCAATCTTATATATTGTTTCAAACTTAGGTTCAAAGTGTTATTCGAATGTCGACAGAAACTATTATGACCAAAAGATACTTATGCGTATAAACAATACTTTCTCTGCTGGTTTGCCTATTGTTCATTCGAATGCAGAATTTTCAACCTTAGTGAACTCAAACACTTTGGCAAGTATAACGTTGACATTAGTTGACGCAAACTTTGTTCCTGTAAAACTTTTATGTCCTATGTATTTGTCAATGACGGCAGAAAGTTTCGAATTGGAAGATGCAACTGGTGAAAGTATTGTATTACAAGAACAACTTCAACAACAATAGCTCAAGAACAACAAATGCAACAAATGCAACAACAAAGTCAAGAATAAAAAAAAATATTTTTTTTATTTTTATAAAAATGTACAGAATAGATGTTTTCAGATTTTTATGACTTCCAAGCATTCAGAAATATGTGTCCATTTAGAGACTATAACAAAGCAGTCGAGAATTTGAAACGTTTAGTCATTTATGTCGACTCTGCCCCAGAATGTTATGTTATGAAAGAATGGGATGTAGTCTTTAACAAACCTAAAGCGACAATAGTTTCAGAACAAGAATGTAGACAGAAACTTAAGAAAATAAAAGTCGTACAAGTTGGCATGAAGATGTTAGATGCTTGGGATATCTTATTGTCAAGTTAGAAGATTTTTCAGTTCGAGGTATAAAGTTCTATACACCTTCTCCAAAACTTCTATTCTATCTTCACTGATATAAATATGAACAAGTAAGAATGGAAAGAAAATATTATAGAAGCTTGGTTAGACCATGTCAAAGAAATTATATGCAATGGAAACGAAAAGGTTTATGAGTATATCTTATGTTGGTTTGCAAACATCTTACAACATCCAAGTGCTAAAAATGAAACTGCTCTCATTATAATTGGAAAACAAGGAACTGGTAAGAACACATTCTTTACAGATATCTTATGCAAACTATTAGAGGGCTATTCGAATCCGAATATGACAAACTTAGAAAACATCTGTGGCAAGTTTAACTCCTCAATAGAGAAATATGAAACTTATAGTTTGCAATGAACTTCAAAGTATAGATACACAAAAGTTTTAAACTCAGATGCTTTGAAGAGTCTTATAACAGATAAAGTTGGAGTTGTTGAAAGAAAGTATAAAGACAAAGAGTTTGTGAAAATGTTGCAAACTTCATTATGGTTTTCAAACAATGCTGTTCCGATGAAGTTAGAAAGTTCTGACAGAAGATATGTAGTTGTCAGAACGTCCAGATTCTCATATGCAAGATACAGAATATTTTGACGACTTAGCAGAAACTTTGACATCTGACTTTTACAACCACTTGTTCTCATATTTTATGACATTAGATATTTCAAAGTTCAATCCAAGACAAAATTCCACATACCGAAGAGAGACAAACATTGTTAGAAGCAAACAAGAGTGTATATGAACTGTTCATAGATGAAACTGACTTTGTGTCATTAGATGAAAGGTCATTGTACGATTCGTATAAACAATATTGTCAAGAATATGGTTATATGACAGCGTCTAAACGAACATTCTTGGCAAATGTCAAAAGTCTTTTAGACGTACAGAATGGTGTATATACAAAGAAAAATTTTTATGAGTAAATTTTAAAAAAATATTTTTTTATCCGATAGAAAAGATGGCAAAATTCATCTCAGTAAACAAGTACATGTCAGGACTTAAAGAAGAACTAGACCCATTCACATATTTGAATGTTTACTTCTACCATTTTGAAAAGTCTTCATTCAGCAAAGTTTGGAACATCGAACCAGTTAAGTTTGCTATTGTGACTAAAAATGGTGCGAAATTTGAAGACTTAGACATAGAAGGTTTATTAGCAGTCAAAGAAAGTTTTGACAGAAGGTTCTCAAACCTTAAAGAAGGCAAAGCATACAAACTTGTTATACCTTATGAACCAAAGAAAGCAGACGACTATGAATATTATGAGTCTAAAGTTGTAGAAGTTCAAGGTAAATTGGGTAAAAAGATTTTAGAGTCTAAGCCAGTGTTTACTCCTAAAGAGGAAGAGAACATTGACATTGACCCAGAAATGTTCTAAAAATAAAATTTTATTTTTACATGTCAAATTTCTTTTTCTCTGGAACTGGTTCAGGTTCTTTCTTCTCTTCTTCTACTTTCTTTTCTTTCTTTTCTTTCTTCTTCTTTTCTGGTGGAGTTATGTCAAATTTGGCGCAACTATATTTATGTAAAAGTTCCTTGTCCTTTAATAGCTCTTCTATTCTGTTTTCTATTTCATCTTCAAGAACAGCGCATGTGTCTTCTTTGCATTCTAAGAAATTTTGTTGGACTTCATCTTTCCAAGAGGCGTCATCTCTGTCAACAAGTCTGTCATTGACAAATTTTAAGACTGCTCTGCTTAATGTTTTATGGTTCTTGTCATATTCCCAGAAACAGAACTTTAGAACAAATTCCCCTTTCTTGTTTACACTATGTAAGATTTTATGGTCGACAGATGTTTTGCTGTCAAAAAGTTTGTCTCGAATATAGATAGCGAAATCGCTAGACATTTTCTAAAAGATAAAAATTTTAATTTTTCTAAAAATATGTTAGAAAAAAAGTTTGCTGACATTGACAAGAAATTTGAGAATGTTTTAAATAAGAACAAGAGGAAGTTAGAAAATGCTCAGATAAAACCCATACATGACAAGTTCTTATTTGCTCAGAATGGTATAACAGGTCTAATTGCACCACCTGGGTCGGGTAAGACTTTCACTTATCTTAAAATGGCTGCACAACAACAAGAACTAGATGAGAAGAACCCATTCTATGAGTTAGTAGTCATTTGTAGTACTTCTGGTCAATTTGACCAAACCGTCAATTCGTTCAAAGATATTATAAAGAAGTCTAAGTTAGTATGTATAAAAGACTCTGAGTTGTTAGATTGGATAAAGAAGTACCAAAGAAGAGTTTTGAAGTATAATGCTATAAATGAGTATATAAATTCTAAGTTTAAAGACCCAAATGAGGAAATGCAGAGAATATTAGAGAAGAAACACTTCAGAAACAAACAGAAAGAGATAGAATACATTTCGAAGAAATTGCAATCTTACGATTGGAAGACATACCCTCATAGGTGTCTTCTTATCTTAGATGACTTTGCTTCTCATCCTTTGCTTAAGAATAGAGAACAAGATATGTGTCGAATTCTTAAGAAGCTCAGACACTTTAACATCTCAGTTGTCATTTGTGTACAGACAGCAAAGAGTTTAAGTAAGGATGTTAAAAGAATACTGACTGACATTATACTTTTCCCCGGATTGTCCGAAGACGATTTCATGGAACTTATGAAAGAGTCCATGGCAGGTAAGTTTGACAGACATGAACTATGGGAGAAGTACAAAGTCATACAAGACCCTCATACTTCTTTCAGAATTCATATCTACGCGAACAAAGTTCAAATTGTAAAAAGTCAAGCTTGAAAAATAAAGAGTTCATTTACCCTACTTGTTTGAAGTTGTCAAAATACTCTGTTATTTTTCACGATTTTCATGAGTTTTGGCGACTGGGGTTTTTTACTTACTCGCTGTTCTTCACTGTTTTCATACGGAATCTCTTCTCTCGGTTTTCCGAGGGAAGCAAGCATATGCCATTTTTTGACGAAGTGAAGGTTTGCACTTCGTCAAAAAAATCCCTGAAATCAAGAATTTTGTTGCTGAATTCAGCAAAAATAATGTTTAGGTGAAGAGGTGAGATCTCACCTGTTTTCTCACCTGTTTTCTCACCTGTTTTCTCACCTGTTATTTTATAAGCGTTTTACATGGTAAACGTTATTTTTTAAATTTTGTGAAAACTCAACGGTTTGACACATGCCCTAAAAATTATTTTACTCAGAATTTTCATACGGAATTCAGCAAAAATAATGTTTAGGGTAGAAGGTGAGATCTCACCTGTTTTCTCACCTGTTATTTTATAAGCGTTTTACATGGTAAACGTTATGAATTCGTGAGACTCTAAACAGTTTCGTAGCTTCTATTTCTTCTTTTAGTACATCGAATGTTTTAACGATACCGAAAGTTTCTTTATACTTCTTCTTGACGTCAGATAGAAGGAAATCTTCTGCTGTTGGATAGTTTTTGTTCAGAAATTCTAAAAAAAAAATAAAAAAATAAAAAAAAAATAAAACTAACTTTATTTTTTATTTCGGGAAAATTCATGAAAATTCAAGAGGTGAAAAAAGAGGTGAAAAAACAGGTGAGATCTCACCTTCTACCCTAAATTATATTTTTACTGAATTCAGCAACAAAATTCAAATTGTAAAAAGTCAAGCGTAAAAATAAAGAGTTTAGTCTTAGTAAGTAAGTCTGTTGTGGTGCTGGGGCTGTCGGTTCTTCTGGCTTTGGAAGGCATTCAGGAAGAGGAACGTCAGTCATCCGTTTGTGTCCTGTCGGATGGAAAAATTTTTCCTGTCGGATGGAAGAGTTCTTCCTGTCGGAAGGAAAATTTTTTCCTGTCGGATGGAAAAATTTTTCCTGTCGGATGGAAAATTTTTTTCTGAAGTTCGACCAAAAAGTTCTCAATTTTCGAAAATTTGAATGGTTTACGGACGGACAACTGGAAAAATTTTTCCTGTCGGATGGAAAAATTTTTCCTGTCGGAAGGAAAATTTTTTCCTGTCGGATGGAAGAGTTCTTCCTGTCGGAATGAAAATTTTTTCCAGTTGTCGGGAAAATATTTTCCTGTCGGATGGAAGGACTCGGAATGCCAGAAGGATTTGACGAGGCAATTTACCTTATAGAGCTACCTGAGCCATCTGAAGTCAAGCTTGAAAAATAAATGGTTCATTTACTCTGCTTGTTTGAAGTTGTCAAAATACTCTGTTATTTTTTCCTTCAGTAGCGGTAAGTCTTCTTTGAAGGTAAGTATTGTACAACCTTTCATATCATAGTGTGTTTGAGGTAACGTATCTTGAACTATTTGTTTCACATCTTCATTCGGTGTCATTGAAATCGGTAAGTTTTCGCGATAGAACCAATTTCTGTCAGATTTGTAAATCTTAGCAAGGTCGTAAAAGCTTTTGTTGTTTCTTCTGACTAAATGCAACATAACCATATCTTTATCTTCTTCATTTTCCATCTCTTCAGTATAAATCATATACTTATAGTTCTTTTCCTTTCCTTTTGGTACTGAACGTGGTATTCTTTTCTGAATGCTTTTGTCTTTTGCTTCAAGCTTGTTTTCCATCTCTTCACGTTCTTGTCTATGAATTTCGTCAAGAAGTCTGTAAATATTCCAAGCATAACGAGGCGAAGCCCACATTGCAACAGCATTTACAAGAAGTCTATGTACATAATATCCTCTCAAACCGTTTGGCAATTTTTCACGATTTTCATAGAGTTTTGGCGACCCAGAAAAAAGTCGGTCTCGCTGTGCTTCGCTCAAAAGTTCTTGTGTGCTTTGGTTCCTAAACCAGTCTTTAGGAAGCTTAGTATCTGGAGCAAAACATGCTGTCAAAATACTTTGCATCTGGTACATATCGTCTTTGACCGAACGAATGAGACGGAGTTGTTTGTTATACTGTATGTACTCATATTCTTCATTTATAGCTTCATGAACGATAGCAGTTGTTGTGTTCTCTGTTGTTGACATATCTGTCTTTACATACAAAATAAAAAAATATTTTATAAAAAAATTAGCGTTATTTTTTCTATCTTAAGGAAATTCACTGTTTTCATAGAGTTTTGGCGACTACGTTTTTTTACGTACTCGCTGTTCTTCACTGTTTTCATAGAGTTTTGGCGACTACGTTTTTTTACGTACTCGCTGTTCTTCACTGTTTTCATAGAGTTTTGGCGACTGGGGTTTTGTACCTACTCGCTGTTCTTCATGATTTTCGTACGGAATCTCTTCTCTCGGTTTTCCCGAGGGAAGCAAGCATATGAGGAAATTCATGAAATTTGGTCATTTTTCAGCAAAAATAATGTTTAGGTGAAGAGTGAGATCTCACCTGTTTTCTCACCTGTTTTCTACCCCAGTTATTTTATAAGCGTTTTACATGGTAAACGTTATTTTTACATTATGACACGAAGTGAAGGTTTGCACTTCGTCAAATTTTATAAAAAATTAGCGTTATTTTTACATTATGACACGAAGTGAAGGTTTGCACTTCGTCAAATTTTATAAAAAATTAGCGTTATTTTTACATTATGACACGAAGTGAAGGTTTGCACTTCGTCAAATTTTATAAAAAATTAGCGTTATTTTCTATCTTTCACAAAAGACCAAAAATAAACGCTTTACATGTATTTTTCAGCAACTTCGTCAAATAATTTTATAGCTTTATCTATCTCATCTACTTCAAACGTTTCTTTACCTTTTATGGGAGCACCATACATTTTCTCAAACTTTTCAAGTAGTTCTGTTTCTGCAGCTCTCATATCATTAGCAAACACAACCTTGACTCTATTGACTGTACTGTCATATCTTTGAGTTATATTATATGTTCTTCCTATCTTATATCTTTTTGTATTGAAGTCCTTCGGTTTCTGAACGATGTAAAGTAAGCCTTCACTGCAACGTTCCGTATCGAATGAACCATATGTTATGAAGTTATATCCAACAACTGGATCTAACCATAACAAAACTATTGGTATAAGACTTTTGTCTATAAGATATGCTGCAGTTCCATAGAATTTTACCGATATCATAAGCTCAGGATTTCTTGTCAAAATTTTCTGAGTAGAAGCATTTCTAACCCAGTCCTTTGCTTTCTTTCCAGATGGAGATATAATGTCTGACAAAGAATATTTGTTGTATTTCTTTGAGTATCTTACGTTTAAATCACCTATTCTAACCACTTTGGTGTCATTGTCTATCTTTCTAACTGTTTCAAACTCAATGTTTGTCATTTCTGTTCTTACATACAAAATAAAAAAATAAATAAAAATAAAACTAACTTTATTTTTTCTGTCTTAAGGAAATTCATGAAATTTGGTCATTTTTCAGCAAAAATAATGTTTAGGTGAAGAGGTGAGATCTCACCTGTTTTCTCACCTGTTTTCTCACCTCTTTTTTCATGAGCGTTTTACATGAATTGTACGATGTATATTTGAAATCTTAAACAGTTTCGTAGCTTCTATTTCTTCTTTTAGTACATCGAATGTTTTAACGATACCGAAAGTTTCTTTATATTTCTTCTTGACGTCAGATAGAAGGAAATCGTCAGCAGTTGGATAGTTTTTGTTCAGAAATTCTAACATGTCCATTTTATTTTCTGCTGGTTTTTCTGCTTCTTTCTTTAAATCTGCATAGTCGTTTCTCATTCTTTCTATCTCTTTGACGGAGTAGTTATATCTCCTCATTGCTGCTTTACATTTAGAACATTGCGGGTTCATTTTTGCGTTATATTCTGAAACCTTACCAGCTAAAACAACTAAAGCGTCAATTGCTCTCTTCATCTCAAACATAGCGGGTCTTATTTGTTTGTTCCATACTTTGCCTCTTCTATCTTTATCTCTTATCTGCCATACACATTCAGCAACTAACGAAACAAAGTTGTCGTAGGTCTTAAATTCTTCAGATTTATATATGTCAGAAACATTCTTATATACCATGTCGCAATCTTTGTCCATAACCTTATGGTTGCAATGAAATCCTAGAAACTCATAGTTTACCTTTCGTATGAACTTCTTTATTTCTACTGAGTCAGTTGCTTTGACTTCAATTTCGTCGAATTCAGGAATAGTGAGTTTTTGTTGTTGGATTTCAGGCAATTTGGGTAAATGGTCGATGAGGTCCTGCATTTCATAAAGATACTGTTCATTTGTTTCATCTTTCGCACTACAGTCTAAATTACATGTTAAAAGTTCTTGCTTTATCTTCTGGATTTCTGTTTCAAAAGTATATGAAGAAGGAATGAAGCTTTTCATCTCTACTAACATTGACGTAGGATTCATGACTAACGAGTTTGGTGCTGTTGTTTGAATTGTTGTTGTGCCGATTGTTGACATTTTATTTTTTTATACAAAATAAAAAAATAAAAAAAAATAAAACTAACTTTATTTTTTATTTCGGGAAAATTCATGAAAATTCAAGAGGTGAAAAAAGAGGTGAAAAAACAGGTGAGATCTCACCTCTTCACCTAAACTTTATTTTTGGGTCCTTTACACTCATTACGAAGAAGTCTTGACAAAACATTTACGAAGAAGTCATGAAAATTCAAGAGGTGAAAAAAGAGGTGAAAAAACAGGTGAGATCTCACCTCTTCACCTAAACATTATTTTTGCTGAATTCAGCAACAAAATGAACGAGGTCAGGATGTATGTAAATACATTTGAATTCATTCATAACACCCTTAGTAAGCTCATAAAATGCTTGTTTTGAGGTCGAGCCACTTTTGGCTCCACCGTATTCTTTCAACCAAAACTCAAGAATTTCCTGCATGAATTTTGTATAAAAAGCAACCGTCTGAATTCAGACTGTTGCTATATTCTTCACAAAACATTTACGCTCATTACGATGAAGAAGTCTTGACAAAACATGTACGATGAAGTCATGACAAAACATATACGAAGAAGTCTTGACAAAACATTTACAATGAAATCATGACAAAACATTTACCCGACATTCTCGTCAAATACAAAAAAATGAAAAAAATGACACTTTTTCATTAGATAACTGTTATTTTTTGACGAAGTGAAGGTTTACACTTCGTCAAAAAAATCCCTGAAATCATATCTTTACATACAAAATAAAAAAATAAAACTAAATTATATTTTTTTCTATCTTAAGGAAATTCATGAAAATTCAAGAGGGTAGAAAACAGGTTAGAAAACAGGTTAGATCTAACCTTCTACCCTAAATTATATTTTTGGGTCCTTTACACTCATTACGAAGAAGTCTTGACAAAACATTTACGAAGAAGTCTTGACAAAACATTTACGAAGAAGTCTTGACAAAACATTTACGAAGAAGTCTTGACAAAACATTTACGAAGAAGTCATGACAAAACATTTACGAAGAAGTCTTGACAAAACATTTACGAAGAAGTCATGAAAATTCAAGAGGGTGAAAAAAGAGGTGAAAAAACAGGTGAGATCTAACCTTCTACCCTAAATTATATTTTTGGTCCGGGAACAACTTTCTCTCAATTGGAGCTGTGGCATACTCTTTGCGTAAACGGTTCAGACCTTCTTCGAACTCTTGGTCTCTCTTCGATTTGGACTGAGATTGGAATTGCTGGGGTGGAGCTTGCTGGAACATCCAAGGGTTGGGGAAGTAAGGCATAGGCAGAGGAGGGTAGTTCGGGAAGCCTTGTGGTGGGTAGTAACCTTGAGGTGGAAATTCTACATAACCTGTGAAGGCGACATCCAACCAGTTCAGTAAACCTTAACGTTTAACTTCACTTTTTTATGTTTTTTGTGAAAGTGTCAAAAATAAATTGTTTTCATGAGTTTTCTACGATGTTAGAAAAAATGTTATTTTCTAATATCTTCACATTCAATACTTTTTCAGCACTTTTCCGTAGTTATATATGAAAGACAATTCGAGATAAAAGTCATAGTACAATGGAATAATATGTTGCACATCATTTGTTGTGAACCAAACTTGAAAGTCAGAGAAACTGTTACTAGGTGGTTCGTAGAATTTAGAAGCAAAGTCATAAAAGTCCTTACCAATACATAGAAAACTATTGTTGCTTGAACTGAAACTTGCATGACACATAACATTTTGAGGGTCAAACACGTTTCTATAAACTGTCAAATCTGCTGGTGGAAGTATAAATTTAAATGGACCATCTGGTGGTAATGGTTCGTTCTGGTTTAGTAACCGAAGAAATTGTGCCCAAGAACGTTTGTCTACTTTCCAAAATAAAAACTCTGTATCTCTTGGAGGGTTAATTTCAATCTTTTGAAATGAAACGGTGGAGTTCATCTTGTCATATTCTAGTTTCAGATAGTATGTTCCATTTAGTAAAGAGTCGTATTTTTTCTTGAAATTCCCAATAATATTTGTTCATTTGAGTTTGAAAGTCATTTAGAGTTTTCTCAAGACTTTCGTCTGAACGAACTGTAAAGATTCTCATTTCGTCAAATTTGTCTATTAGACCATCAGAACCTTTATACTGCCCATGAAAATATACTGCGAACATAAATGCGTTAGTTCTATTTGAAAACAAAACTCTTCTAAATCCTATTGCCTTTGCATCTGAAGGACTTTGAAGCCAACGAATTGGATAGTCAAACCTGTATACTCGGGATGAAATTTCTTCATCTGAAATAGTCCTACCAGCATTTGTAAAGATATAGTCTAACGGTTTTGTATCTGCTACTTTTGTTCTTTGTTTTTCAACCTGAAGCATTTAATATATGTAAAAATATATTGTTTTAAAATGGTATGCCATTTCATATTTCTCATCTAACAAACAAGTTTCCCAACTCTGCTTTTATTCTAGCAGACTCTGCTTTTATTCTAGCAGATTTTCTATCCATTCTATATGGGGGCATTTTTATAAAAATAAAAAAATATTTTTTTCTTTACTTAACATAACCGCCTGCTGCCATAAGTCTTTGACGCCAACCCATACCAGCTAATGAAGGTTGACTTGGTTTAGTTTCCAAACTAAACTTTGGTTTTGGTTTATCTTCAGTTTTTGGTTTTTCTTCTTCTATCGGTTTTTCGTCACTTTTCGGTTTCTCTGACTTTACTTCACTTGCAGGAACAGTTGTGTCGTCAACATCTTCATAAATATCATATGCCATTTGTTTTTGTTTTCCTTTCAACTTTTTGTGTTTGTTGTAAAGTTTAGAATATTTCGACTCTAAGTCAATGAGATGTTCTATAATGAACTGTTGGTCAGTGAAGTAAACTTTTCCATCTGTTGTCTCGAAAGCTCCTTCAGACTTCAATATTTTATTTGTGAGAGTCTGTTTCTTTTTTGAGATACTTGCCGTTCCATTTTTATGAAAAGTGACTTTGTAGTTAGGGTTTGTATTTCCAGACCTGGCACTTTCTATTATTGAATTTTTCTCTTCATCTGTAAGTTCTTTGACAGGTTTTGACAATGGTTCTGAACTTTTTGTTTGTGGTGTCAAATCTACCGTTTCAACTTCTTCGGTCATTTCATCTCAGTAAAAAATTTTAGTTTGGTTTGTTTTCAACTGGTTGTTGTTGTTTTTAAGTCGGTCTAAACTTCCTGAGGTATAGGAAGAACTTGACAAACACGTTGTGTAACTGCTGGAAGCCGACAAATCCATCTTGAACCCATTTTGTCTCAATGCTGTATTGTTCATTTCATCTCAGTAAAAAACTTTACATTCCCCACGTTTGAGGCGGTTGAGGTTGGTTATTGTTTACCCATTGTTGTGCATGGTTATATCCTCTGTTAAAGAATCTTTCACCTTGGTCCATATAGTGTCCTGCTTGGTTATAGTAGTCATTTGCTTTGTTATAATAGTTTCCTGCTTGTCTTCCTACATTGTCCATCCATCCTTGAACTTTTCCTCTTGTTTCAGGATTTGGAATAAGATTTGTTGCATCTCGTGCTACATCCCAACCTTTCTGTACAGTTTGTATAATAGGTTGTGCTTTCTCTTTAAGTATACCTAATGTACTCAAAATCTTCCTTCCAACTCCAAATACACCTCTGGCTATTGTTCCCACTGCGGGTAAAAATCTGGATGCAACTCCTGCTAATGCGCCAAATAAACCCATTTCTTATAGGATAAAAAATGACGAATCCAAAACAAGGACCCCTATGTTTCTAAAGCGACAAAAAAGCACTCATGATAAAAATCTTTAGTTCAAACACCAAATGCTTGGTTTATGGATATCTTGGAAAACATTCCGAGAGTTAGAACAGATGGACCACCATACTGGCTAATATTTGTTGGTCAAAAACAAGATACTGTGAAGCCATACCATTATGGTCCAAAAATATTTTAGATGTGAAAACTGCTTTGACAATATTCGTTGACAAATACCATCCAACAAAACTGACATCTGACTGTGAAAGTTCTTTCAAATCAGATGATGTAAAAAACTATCTGCGTTCAAAAAATGTAAACCAATATTTCATTGTCGACCAAAACCATTCTGCTCTTGGTGTCATTGACGGTTGTATAAAAATGTTAAGAGACTTAAACCAACCACAAGGTGGTGAAGCAAATGAAATGTCATATGACGACAAATATAGACACTTCTCCATGGCAAAGATGAGACAAGTTTTAAATATTTACAATAGCCGTAAACAAAAAGGTTTGGGAAACCACTCCCCCGAAGAAATGAAAAACAACCCTGACTTAGAGAAAGACTATATATTTAATAATTTAGTCAAAAGAGACAAACAAGAAAGAATGCCGGGCTTCAAACTTCAGAAAGGTGACAAAGTAAAAATATAGAAATACCTAAACGCGACCCATATGAAAATACTATTGACTATGACAACAATGGGAACCCGACAGGTACTCACATTCGTGTTCGTAAAAATAGAAGAAAGTATACAAGAGAATATTATGAAGTTTTAGGCAAACATGGCAAAATGTACACACTGCAAGCAGAAGATAAAACTACTATTGTCAGACCTCGTTTCAAACTTGTCAAAGTTCAAGGTGGTATACTTTCAAAGACAGTTCCTAACAAATATAAGACAACTCCTGACGAATATGCTAAAGAAGTTGAAAATGACGACTAAGCATTTCTATACCATGCGTAAACTGTCATGTAAGGTGGCATGTAGTCTTTACTTTGTCCCGTTGTTTGCGTATATCCTGAAACGCGATGTGTATGGTTTCCTCCTCCCTCAGTGTTACTCCAGAAACAATTTATAGCAAACTGAACGTTGTCTTTAACATCATATCCTTTACCTTTTGTCATTGCTGACCAATCCCAATATCTATGCTTATGCCAACCTGCTTGAGATGTACTTAAATCTATGTAGTGACTATGTGCAGGTAAATTTTCACCTGAAATCGTTTTACTTCCACCTGTTTCCTTTGAAGAGTTTGCACAATACAAAAACCTGTCGACTATTTGAGTCCAAGTTCCAAAACCCAGAACTGTTTCTGGATTTGTTGAGTTCATTGACGTATAAATAGAGCCTATAGGATATAATGTTTGAAGTATTTCTGTCTTTAATGTTTGAAGCTCTTTTTTGTCTGCTTTCTTGTCATATAAATCTTGAGCAGTGAATTTAATATTATATTCATCCTTCATGACATAAACATCTTTACATCTAATGTTTCTCATCGTCGTTATGTCGTCATCCGATGTTAAACCTTGTGGAAAGTTAGGAGGTTTACAATATAATACATCCCCACCAGTTACGTCAACCGTTCCTTCAATACTTTCTATAGCAACAGTTGTAAAACTTGTATGTGTATGAGTCTTATTTGCTTTCTTCTCTAACTCATCGTTAACATAAGTTTTATCTGCTTTAAGGTCTAAACATCCTGAAACCCATCCTGTATCAGCTTTAGTTTTAAGAATCTTCGATGTCCATCCATGATACCATTCAACCCTTTCTATAATTTCATTATCTTTTTCATCCACATATTCCTTATCTGCTTTCTTCTCTAACCTACTAGCCACACAATCCTTATCCGCTTTCTTTTCAAGGCTAACGTTTAAGTCTGTTATTTCAGATATAGAATGTGTATGAGTCTTTTTAGAATATTCGTTTTCAGCTCTTGTCACTTCACTTGACATTTTATTGTCAACATATGTTTTGTCTGCTAGTTCAGGATGAGTATGTTCTTTTGTTGCATAAGCATTGTTAGCTCTTTTTCTTCTTTTGCTATTGCATCGTCTACATATTCTTTGTCAGCTTTGTTGTCAAACATCTGCTTTCAAAAAGAAGTTCATTTATAGGTTTCTCGTTTAAAGTTCCTTTTGTTGGATTTATACAGACAGTATTGCTCTTCTTGTCTTGAAATAGAAACTCATCTGTTAAAGGGTTTAATGTCAGTTTTAAGTTTCCTTCTTTCAATGACTCAGATATCTTAGAATAGTTTGAAAAGTTTGTTGTGTTCTTATTTAGAGCTTGCATAATGAGTTGTCGTTGTGTTGTATTTCTCTCATGGAAGCAATATCTTTCGACATTTTTATTCTAGATAAAATATGCTTCCAATAGAAAAAGAAAATTCAAGAGTTGCTACAACTAAACCATTAGATGAACTTTTTACTAATGTCGGTCAAAAGTTTGAGACAGAGACCGTAAAGCATGAAGGCTATCGTTTTGACTACCCATTAAGATGGCTAAGAGACCCATCTGTCACAAAAGCTATTGGCTTTCGTAGAATGAAGTTTGTGTCTGTAGAAGATAAAAGTTTTCCATTTATTGTAAGGTTTCATATAGATTATATATCTGAAGGGAAACGAAAAATGTGGGAAGAAATTGAGCTAATACAAGTTGACCTTTCATCTTCTCTACAGACTGCGTTAAAAAATATAGAAGATAAAATAAATTCATGTTATGCAAAATATGCTGATGAATATGCAAATACCGAGAGCACACTTTATGTGAGAATTGTATATGACAAACAAAATTCACAAGTGTCATTTCAAATCTACGAAAACAATCCAAATAAAGACGAACAAATATATACAGAATTCACTGCAATGTCAATGGTATTATTTGCAAAGAATGTTAAATCAGAAAGTCGAACTTCCTTTAGCAAATATTTACAGTCGATATGCAAGAGATGAATATTTATTTAAAGTGTTTTCGACCCAGCTGCTATTATTGTTCATGCTTCATTTTCTGGCGCCCAAAACTCTCTTTTTATGCTTGGCAAATGACTTTTACGAAAAACCTACAAAGTTATACGAACCACCAAGTGGAAGTATTTCAGACTTTCAAGTATGGTTTACTACAGATGGAAGAAAAGAATAATTCCATTATACCATGTGTTTTACTTAGAACTTAGTTTCATATACAACTACTATCGAACGGTAAAAATAATTTTTTTAATACGGTTGAGGTGTTGGATTTGGTTGCCAACTAGACTGTGGTGCAGGTTCAGGCTGTTGTATAACAGGAGCTTGCTCTTCTGGTTCAGGGTCTTTAGGTATAATACCAACGAACTGACCTACTCTTTTACCAATATTTTTGACTCCGTTCCAAATTCCTCTTCCTACGGTTTTATTCCATTCCATATACCTCTTCCAACATTTCGAAAGAAGTTTATCTTACTGAAGAAACCCATTTTACTATATGTAAAAATCTAATGTCCGCCTAGTCTTTTGCGTTTCCTGTTGAGTTATAGCATTCTTTAACTGGAGCTCATACATTCTGTTTCTCCTCTGGTAGAAAACATATTCTGGGTCAACTCCTGTGTTCGCGTCATCTGCATAAAGTTGTTTATATCCACTTCAGGGTTTGTATAAAACTCTTTCCATCTCATATTTGCATACATGGTGGCAAACCTAACGCAGCGTCATTTGACATGGCAGTTTGCATTTGTACATCTGTTGGCACTTGACCATAGTTTGCCATTGCAGTTTGTATTCTAACTTCATTTGGAATTCTCTGGTTTGGTTGTCCAGGTTGCTGTGCATTCGCTAAGTTCTGTGCGTCCATTTAATATTAGATAAAAATATTCTTACGAGTACATATACTGAACATTTGCAGGCATTGGTTCATCTTCATATTCTCTGTACTTTTCTGCCACGTCAAAGAAATAAATGACACAATGGAAAAAACCTAAAACAAGTAGTCTATTTCAAACCACATTTACTTACTAATAAAATTTTTTGTTATGACACTTTCTCCGGTTTATAGGACCTCTCTCATATTCTATCTTGTCATATATAAACTCATAGTCATGTATGTCCTCTAACCATCTCATAACGGTTTCCAAACCACTTTTATCGGATGTAAAGTAAAAGCATGGATGGTTATGTAAAACGTCTAAAGTTTCTAAAGAGTCTCTCAAAGTCCAGTCTACTTGGTATTGAAAATCCATGTGTTGAACGGCGGGTCCACTATAAAGAAAACATTTTCCTTGTCTTTATATTTTTCATACAACTCTGTCCAATAACATCTCCCAAACTCTATACCCTCAATATATTTTTCTATGTCCTCTTTGAAAACATTTGTATAGTTAAGATATAAACTTTTGACATAAGTGTTTCAATGTCATGAACTCTTATAGAACCACTATATAATAGTCTAGCAGATATACTATCCCAGTCTATATATTCTGCTTTTTTCAAAACCTCTCTCACAATATTTTTGTTATCTAATGGTATACGTTCCATCTTACCTATAGGTATCTTTTCTTTTAACTCTTTCAATATATTGTTTGTGTCTGGTATATGTTTGAGACGGTCCATATAGTTGTCGAAGTCATTGCATATAATCTTTGAGTCTGGGAATATTGTATGGCACAAATGGGATATATAGAAACTTCCACCGAACAAATCTACAAATGTTAGACATTCGGTAGTTTCTTAAGTTCTCTCAATATAATATCTTTACATTTACTCTTATTTCCAAAGAACGGTAACGGAGGTTTTGTAAAATTCATTTATATATAATAATAAAAATGTTTTTTTCCTGAAAAGTGACAGAAAAGTGACAAAACATGAAAACATATATAATTTGTGAAAAGCGACACATTATATAATGTTTTCGACCCAGAAGAAGGCTTCTTCCCAGAAGCAATTGAGGAAGAAGAAGAGTCCTCCGAATTCACACCAGAAGACTAACAATTTTCCGAATAAAAACTTCATTTATACTAAACATCTTCGGGGCTAGAGGGCACGAAGTGCCTGGAAGCCCCACTACCTTTTTTTTTTTTTTTTTATAGCCAACAATTCCTTCGCAAACAGCGGGAAACTTTGTCTGAATAGTTTAACATTCAGACAAAGTTTCCCGCTGTCAGAGAGGGAATGGAAGGGTAAGAGGTATATATTCATAATGTATACCTCTTACCCTTTCATTCCCTCGAGAAAGTTCAAAAACTTGGGTGCAATCAGAACTGATTGCACCCAAGTTTTTGAACTTTGTATAAGGAATTGTTGGCTATGATGTACTGATCATGAATCAGTACATCATAGCCAACAATTCCTTCGCAAACAGCGGGAAACTTTGTCTGAATAGTTTAACATTCAGACAAAGTTTCCCGCTGTCAGAGAGGGAATGGAAGGGTAAGAGGTATATATTCATAATGTATACCTCTTACCCTTTCATTCCCTCGAGAAAGTTCAAAAACTTGGGTGCAATCAGTTCTGATTGCACCAAGTTTTTGAACTTTGTATAAGGAATTGTTGGCTATGATGTACTGATCATGAATCAGTACATCATAGCCAACAATTCCTTCCCAAACAACCCGAAATTTGTCTGATTCCACACTAATTTTATTAATTTATCTAAACTTTTATCCTCGTCTACAATTTAATCATCAATAATTATCTCTTGTTCTATTTCACTATTATATTATATATATTTATATGATTTGATTTAAAAAAAATAAATAAATAAATTAATAAATCATTTACTCAAATATATCAAAAGTTTTATTTTTATATATAAAGATAACTACTTTTAAAAAAAAATACCCTATATATTTTTGCCATGTAAACTTGTCATTTTTGTCAGAAGTGAAGTGAACCGAATTTTCATGCACAACATTAAGATATTGATAAAATTATCGATATTAGTGTCAGAATTTTGTTCTGGTTCTGGATCAAATATATCATAATTGATAACATTAATCAGATTTTTATATATCATGGGCATCAATTCTTCGTCTGGCAAACTTATATTACTATTCCTCATATTCAATAAATAAAGTAGTTCATTAAGAGAATCCGAAAATATCTGTTTCTGTCTAAATGTTCCTGGATATTTTGGATCTTTTTTACGAGAAATATTAGAACCACGTTTGAGGTTATTTGAACTTGTCTTTGTGTCACTTTTTGTAATCTTCTTTATGTTACTTTTTATAATCTTCTTTATGTTACTTTTTATAATCTTCTTTATGTCACTTTTTGTAATCTTCTTTGTGTCACTTTTTGTGGTTTTCTTGGTGTCACTTTTTGTTAAATTACAATTGTCACTTTCTGAATTATCCTCTGTGTCACTATCTGAACTATCTTGTGATGGATTGATATTTTGTGGTGGGGGTCGTTTATTTGAATTTTGATTGTTTTCTGGATTATGAGCATTTTTACGATTGTCCGCATGTTTCTTGAAACGATTTTCTCCATAATCACTATTTTGCTTTGGATTTATTTTGTCATCAGGTCTAGGTACATAATTCATTAATCCAATGTGTCCTTCATTGACAGGATTTGATCTATAATATTTCATAGTTCCTAAGGTCAATGAAATTAATTCATCTATAGTTGGTCGAGAATCTGGATTTGGATTTCTCATGAAATCAATCAGATAAATGACTGTTTTTGGAATAAGAGGTGTATATATAGAATATGGATAATTGTGATTGAACATGTAGTTGAGAACGCATCCAAGTGAAAAGATGTCTGATTTAACACCGTAACCAACGTATTTCGATTTGAAAAGGTTCTGCTCAACTTCTGGAGCCGTGTAAAACCTAGTTATTGTGAAATCATATGCTTTGTCGGTGTCAAACACTGAAACATCAAAATCTGCGTAGTGAGGTTTATCAAACTCGTCGAGGAGAATGTTGTCTGGCTTTAGATCTCTTAGTATAATGTGGTGGTTGTGAATGTTTCGTACGTCTAAACAAATTTGATAAAATTTTTCGAGTAATTCTAGGTTTGTGAGATTAGGATTGTTTTGTATATAGGCTGTTAATGTTCCTTTTCGATACAAAGGGCTGCTGGTAAAGTATTTATTAGGCACGGCCAAATTTGGATAATAAATTGGAATCCCCAGTATTTCTTTGATCTTATTTTCCACGGAAAGATCTAGTTTTGAGAATTTAAATATGTGTGAAGAGAAGAATTCATCGGAATGTAAAACGACACTATGAGCTCCATATCCGAGAACTTTGAAACCCCTTGGAACGAATGTCTCTTTGTATTTGGAAATTACAAGTTCTTTGTCATGGTTTATCGGGTCTAGTAGATAACATTTCAATAAAAATGAAAAATCATGGATACTCGTATAAGTTCTATCAAAAGAACTATCTAAAAGATGCGGTAAACTTACCCATTTGTTCTTTTCAAGGTTGGATAGACGTGGAAGGGGTGCAATTACTTCATTAAGATCGTTGATCTGAATATAATCCGGATGATACGAGTAACTTCTAGGATCATTTAGATATATCATGACCAATTGTCTGAAAATCTGATGTAAATCCAGTATGACTCTTTCAAAGTCTGGGTTACTATTTAAAAATCCTGATAAGGTATATGCTGTCATTAAAAATTTTTGTCACTTTTTTAAATTTGCCTCAATTCATAGGAACAAAAAAGTCGATTGAATAGCTAAGAAAAAAAAAGGTAGTGGGGCCTCCAGGCACTTCGTGCCCTCTAGCCCCGAAGATGTTTAGTATAACTTTGTCCGGACAAGTAAGGGTCTATCGTCGCTACAGGAAAAGTTACGGGCGTTCCAAGGAAGTATACTTTGAGAAGCCTTTCCCCCTTATAGAATGAGATAGGACGGTTATTTTACAAAACTGACAACACTTTGACCGAGTAGTTTTTTGTGCTGAACAAATAGTGTCATATAAACATCTGTCAAAAACCGCTTTTTAACTTCACTTAAAATGCCACGTAAGCTACGTAAGAATATACGTAAGAGGAAGGGAGCATTGAAACATCCAATAGTAAAACTGACACCACAACAACAGTTGCAACAACAAATTATGAATGACCCCACTATGTTGCAACAAATGTCAAGCAACCCTATGCTTTTAAACCGAGTTATTGGTGCACAGAGTGGAGGTTTAAGAGCGGCACTTTTAGCGAAAATGGCAGGCTATGGTGGAGCTGCAGACGGAACAGCTTATAACCCTCAAAGTCAAATGAATTTGAGTTCACTCAAAAATCAAATAACAGATGTCAAAAAGTCAAACATAGACATACAGAAACAAATAAGTGAAAACGAAAAGAAACTAGAATATGACAGACACACAAAGAAACTCAATGAGTTAAACGTAGAGAAAAAGAAGAAAGAAGAACAACTGAAAGAACTAAGTACAGAGGAATATGCGAAAAAAGTGTCAGAAAAAGCAGCAGAAGTAGCAAAAATGGAACAAGATGTTATAAATTTGAAAAACCATACTACTCAATATAAAGTACTGAAAGATGAAGAAATAAAACAAAAAGCCCTGAAGACATATATGGATAGCGATGAGTATAAAAAAGAAGTTGAAGCAAATGTAAAGGCAGAAAAACTTTTACAGTTGCAAAACCAAACCGTACAGTATGAAAACTTAGCACAAGAAAGTAAAAATAACGACGCAGCCATGCAAAAGGCAATGAAAAGCGCAGAATATATAAAAGCTAATAATGACTGGTTAGATGCCCAAGCCAACGCTAAAGCAGCCCAACTTATAGGGTCAATAAGGACAAAAATACAAGCGGATGAAGACAGTTCAAATGAAGCTTTAATGAATGCTGACTTTAAGAATGCCTTCGAAGCTCTTCATAGTAAGGTGAAACTAGTGAACGACTTCTCATCTGGAAAGAAACTGAAGTCTGAAGGTTTCGACAACGAGTTAAGAGAAGTAGCACAAAATATGACGAAAATAACAGATGCAGCAACGAGACAGGCAGTTCAAAGTGCCTATGACGCCGTTAGAGCAACTGTTGTGAAAAGTCAAGAAAAAGAGTTACAACAGACCAAAACAGACCTAGTAAATGCTTTCTTAAGAACGAAAAGTCAGGTAGGACATTATGCTGCAGATGGAACATATGTGCCAGCTGGTGGAACTTATATACCACCAAACCCTCCAAGAGAAGCACCTGCACCAGGACTACCTAAAACATTTACATCGTCACATGGACACAGACACAGGCATGCACCAAAACCAACACAACAACCAACACAACAACCAACAGTTCAAAACACTGCACCACAACCAACAGTTCAAAACACTGCACCACAACCAACAGTTCAAAACACTGCACCACAACCAACAGTTCAAAACACTGCACCACAAACAGAGCAAGGACATAAAAGAAGTAGAGAACAAGGAAACCAAGAATTCTTAAAAATGCTTAAGGAAAATTATGGTTACCAGATACTCTTGACTTTAGTGACAGATATAAAGAAGCTATTAGAAAGTTCAAGGAAGGAAATACTGACCCGAACCTATTTAGCTTTATGGTTCAGCACCAAATGGGATATAATTTCAAACCTGGAAAATACAAGCTCGCTAAGGGATATGATTTAATAGCATATCATCCAAATGACATGAATGAATTTACTCCGAGATATTTGGTGTCAGAGATAAATGATAATTCAACTATCTTCATGAAACGCGTAAAAAATAGAGACGGAACGAAAGAAGAAAGGGTTATGAATGCGGATGGCTTAAATAGGGAACTTGTTAAAAACGGTCTCGGAATATATGAAATGCCAGCAGATGAGGTACAAGAAACTCCACAGGAAGAAGTTCAGATACAACCAGACATGGAAGAAATAGTTCAGCAACAACAGCTAGAAGAGCCTGAAGGAAACGAACAAATCCCTCCTTTGGAAACTAACTTCACAGAACTAGATGAAGATTTGGAACAGCCGAAAAATCTTGGCCCTCAACAAGAGTATGCGGAGAATATGGAATCTTTCCAAGAGTCTAAGAAAAATTCAGCTGACATAGTAGAAGAATATCGAAAAATGTTCGCCGACATACAAAAGACTCCAACATCAGATGAAAATATTCAGCATAGAATGGAAGAACTGAAAGAAAATGTACGCAAATACAACAATCCTTTTTACTTACGACCATATAACGTTCAATCTTTTGCTGAACTCGGTGAAAATAAAAGGTTAAATTTCACCAAAACATATAGAAATGAAACATTGTTTAAAGTTCATTCAGAACCTAACCAATATGGAAACAAACCTACTTTTGTTTCTGCAGACTATGGAACTACAATGAGATGGGGTCATAAAGCTAATCCGGATAGGTGGTTCATAAACTTACAACCACAATTCCAAGAAGTTGTAGACGCAATGGAAGTGAATGGTGAACCAGATATAGCTGGTATTTTCAGCGCGGCTTTAATGCCATTGAAAGATATGAAAGATGCAGATATTTTGAACCAGTATGAAATGAACATGGCTGATGGAAATATAACACCTGACGTTCTAGAACATTTATCTCAAAGAACTACACAGAACCATAAAGATGGTATATTTGGTGAAGAGTTTAGAAAGAAAGTTAGGGAGAGAGAAGGAAGAGAACCTATTGTACATGACCTTGCAAACGAAAGTTTACAAAATGTCATAAAAACTTACTTTGCAGACAATGAACTGAGAAGGGATGAATATTTAAGAAAACTCAAATGGACAGTACCAAATGAAATGTTAGTATTGAAAAACATGTTCCTTGACAAAATAAAACCAACTACAGAAATAAATGACGCAAGCCTGAAACGTTGGGTAAAAGCTTTCCCATTCACAAAAGATATTATTGGTAACATGGAAAGAAAACCAGAATGGCTACAAAAACATATATTTGGAAACGAGCTTATTCCATATGGACAAGCTCTGTTTGAAGAGCTTGAACCGGAAACTCAGGAAAGAGTCATGCAAACAATACGCGAAGACTCAAATACAAACTATGACAAAATCTTTCTAGGATATAGGTTACCTGAGATGGGCGACCAGAGCCCAAAGGCAAAAAGGACATGGGAAATTTACAACATACTAGGTGAACATGAGGCAAAGATGCAACAACTTAAAGCAGAGGGCAAGTTACCAAAAGCGACACCAAAGAAGAAGAGTAGAACAAAGTGAAAGTAGTGAAGAAGTAACTTCATCTAGTGAAAGTAGTGGCAATGAAGGAAAAAGAAGAGTTAAAAACTCAGTCAGGAAGAAAGTAAAGCTTGGTCGAGTGGGTTCTATTATGACAAATAAATCCAACTATTCTATATTTTTACCCATATGAAATGTACGCCGCTCAGAATATAACGCCAACAGTTTTGGATGCCATGAACGGAAATGTTTCCGAATGGTATAACGAATGCGACAATGCCATTAGAAGGTCAGAAATAGTTCCTGGAACTTACGAATATACAACTGCTGTTTCTTATGGAAACGTAGGTGAGTTTGGAGAAGGTTCTTCAACAACAGTAGATATTGCTTGCGACAGGTTTCATATTATTTCTATTGACAACTCATTCTTATACGTGGAACAAGACATTGAAATAAAACCTTCTGCCAAGTTGTCTGACAAGAAAGGTTGCAATGGAATTTTCTATGTCGGATACCAATATGCTCCAGAAGTTTTCATGGGATATAAGATATATTCTAACTCTGACTTAGTTCAAACAGTAACATGGGCAAACTATGAATGGTTCGCTTTGAGAAACTCAGTACAACCACAAGCTAGAGAACAAACAGACCAGTATGCAAATATTGAGAAAATAAGAAGACTTGACCCTAACGTTCCAGGTTTATGTTAACCTTTCTGGTTCAGATGGAACTGCTGCCACTAAAGTAAAACTGAAACTTAGAGTTCCTTTGTCATCTTTCCTCATCTTCAGGTTTTTAAGATACTTGCCAAACTGGGCAGGAAAATTTCTATTGAACTTACTCCAAGCAAAAATAACTTAGTCATTGCACCAACACAAGACCCATTCAGCATTACTGTAGCTGGAACTGGTGGAGCCAAGTTCTGTGACTTTTGCAAAGACAAAGTTGACTTAGACTTTGGTTTCTCAAACTTCAACAATGAAGTAAACTATTATTTCAATGCTGCTGGAACTGCTTGGGACCCAGTTAAGTTTACATGCGAAAAGTTTGAATGCAAGAGAATAGAAAGCAGACTTGCAGTCTATATGTTGGACCCAGATATTTCAAATGCTTTAGCTGCCAAATATATTGCAGTTCCACTTATGTTCCTATACACCAAATATCTGTCAAAGACTTTGCAGGTGAAGTTGGAAACCAAAGTGCTGACCCAGGTGCAAGAACAGATATTGCTTTAACAACTGCAATGAAACATGCAGATACTATGTTTGTACTGTTCAGACGAACTATAAATGACTATTCTTGTTTCTACAACCCCGGTATTAAATATCATATAAACATAGATGGCAAATATTATCCAAGAGAAGAATATTCTACAGTTGAGGATGAGGTCATACAACTTGACATTAGATGCTATGAACTTTAACAACAACTTCACAACAACCATTAACCCTGAAATGCAAAGTTCTATTATGCCATATGTGAAAGTATGGACTCATACAGGAGGTCAAAAAACTCAATATACAAATGGAGACCGTTCAAACTTTTGGCTTGGCATTCCATTTGCTGACTCAGAAGACTTTATGGGTGGTATTTCAACTGTTGGTACTGTACAAATACAATATACTGGTGACAGAGACGGTCCAGATGAACTGAGAGCAAAGAAGTTTACAAAACCAATAGCACTTTTCACGGAAGATGCTCTTTTGAAGATTCGTTCGATGAAACCTGCTGGGGCTCCTCAGATTGGCATAACGACAGCTTCCATCGAGCAGATTTTGGCAGCAGGTCAGTAAGTTGTTCTTGAACTGACTTCTCTCTCCGTCAAATATTGACAGTACGCCAGTTTTGACATAATATTGTAAGATAAACTTACCTTTAGAAATATCTGTAAGTTTTGAAGTTATATTTTTGTCTGCTTCAAGAACTTTCACCATTTCAGTTATACCAACTTTCTTTGCTTTATGGAAATATTTAGGTTCAGCAAATATGCTATTCTATAACATTTACCATTGTTTGTATAAAGAACTATTCTGTCAATGTATTTGTATTGTTTGTGTGTGTAAACTTTGTTCTGCTTCAATTCGAAGAGATACTCGAATACGTCCATCTTTTTATTCTAAGTAAAATGTCATTTCCGAAAAATAGAAGCGTGAGTGTTTCAAAAGGTTTAATGGCGGTGGCAGATGTGAAGTTAAATTCACCAACTCAAACAAACAGTCAAAGTGTTATTGTCAATGTCAAAGACAGAGATGTTGAAGTGGGGAAACCATACGAAGACGAAGATGGTATAACAATTGTTCCTGTAAAAGAACAACCAACATATCCTGAAGTTAGCAGAGACTTAAGTTCTGTTGCAGATATTCGAAACGACTACCAACAACTGAAAGACAAACTTCAAACTCAGGAGAAGATTTGTCAAGCTTTAAGTATAATGTTAAACTTGGTCGAACACAACCCTGTAAAAGTGAACTCATATGTCATTGCACCTCATGAAGTTTTGAAAGAACTATTGAAACTTTTGACAGAGGCAGACGATATAAACATCAAAGAAATAGAACCCGACATTAGTTGCTGTGGTGTTTCATATAATGTCATTGACAAGATATACGTTATGAAAGGAGGTGAAACGTTGAACTTAAAGTATAGTTTCCCAGACGTTATAAAAATATTTGACGACCACAACATTTCATTAAAATTTATTTGCTAAGTAAAAATGTCAAAACTTCTTGAAAGATGTTTGAAGAAAAATAATATAGACTTTATTTCATGTAAAGGACTTTACACACTTTTGAACGATATGAAAGACCCTGTTTTGTTTGTTCGTGTAGACAAAGGAAAGTTCTATTCTTTACAAAATATTTGAACTTCTTAGACAGAGAACTTCAAGAAACGCCATGTGAAAGTTTAGATGAAGTTCTTCTCCACTTTCAGAAAAACTTTTAAATATATATAAATGGCAGAAGATATAATGGTTTATACTATTACGACTAAAAACCCTGAGTCATATAATTCTATAACAACAAACTTACAAAGTCCTCAAGGACGATATTGTAAACTAACCTTAAACACAATGACGACTAAAGCCTGTTTTGCTCTTTTGACACCAGAAGACTTTATTGTTGTGAATGGTAAAAATACTCCTTTGAAGATACTTACTCAGATATACCACCAACAGGTTTTGTTGACTTATTTAATACTTTAAGGACGGGTGTAACATGTGCTGCAACTAGAGCAGGTTTCATTATGTTTGGATGTCCGACTGAGTTTACTATAAACGATATGAGCTATAATACAAAACTTATTTCTGGTTTTTACTACCAACAGTTTCCTATAACAGGAAAAGGTGTCATACAAGGAATGTCTATTCCATTGACATTAAGCACACCAATCTTATATATTGTTTCAAACTTAGGTTCAAAGTGTTATTCGAATGTCGACAGAAACTATTATGACCAAAAAATACTTATGCGTATAAACAATACTTTCTCTGCTGGTTTGCCTATTGTTCATTCGAATGCAGAATTTTCAACCTTAGTGAACTCAAACACTTTGGCAAGTATAACGTTGACATTAGTTGACGCAAACTTTGTTCCTGTAAAACTTTTATGTCCTATGTATTTGTCAATGACGGCAGAAAGTTTCGAATTGGAAGATGCAACTGGTGAAAGTATTGTATTACAAGAACAACTTCAACAACAAATAGCTCAAGAACAACAAATGCAACAAATGCAACAAATGCAACAACAAAGTCAAGAATAAAAAAAATATTTTTTTTATTTTTATAAAAATGTACAGAATAGATGTTTCAGATTTTTATGACTTCCAAGCATTCAGAAATATGTGTCCATTTAGAGACTATAACAAAGCAGTCGAGAATTTGAAACGTTTAGTCATTTATGTCGACTCTGCCCCAGAATGTTATGTTATGAAAGAATGGGATGTAGTCTTTAACAAACCTAAAGCAACAATAGTTTCAGAACAAGAATGTAGACAGAAACTTAAGAAAATAAAAGTCGTACAAGTTGGCATGAAGATGTTAGATGCTTGGGATATCTTATTGTCAAAACTTGAAGATTTTTCAGTTCGTGGTATAAAGTTTTATACACCTTCTCCAAACTTCTATTCTATCTTCACTGGATATAAATATGAACAAGTAGAATGGAAAGAAAATATTATAGAAGCTTGGTTAGACCATGTCAAAGAAATTATATGTAATGGAAACGAAAGAGTCTATGAGTATATCTTATGTTGGTTTGCAAACATCTTACAACATCCAAGTGCTAAAAATGAAACTGCTCTCATTATAATTGGAAAACAAGGAACAGGTAAGAACACATTCTTTACAGATATCTTGTGCAAACTGTTAGAGGGCTATTCGAATCCGAATATGACAAACTTAGAAAACATCTGCGGCAAGTTTAACTCCTCAATAGAGAATATGAAACTTATAGTATGTAACGAACTTCAAAGTATAGATACAACAAAAGTTTTGAACTCAGATGCTTTGAAGAGTCTTATAACAGACAAAGTTGGAGTTGTTGAAAGAAAATATAAAGACCAAAGAGTTTGTGAAAATGTTGCAAACTTCATTATGGTTTCAAACAATGCTGTTCCGATGAAGTTAGAAAGTTCTGACAGAAGATATGTAGTTGTCAGAACGTCAGATTCTCATATGCAAGATACAGAATATTTTGACGACTTAGCAGAAACTTTGACATCTGACTTTTACAACCACTTGTTCTCATATTTTATGACATTAGATATTTCTAAGTTCAATCCAAGACAAATTCCACATACCGAAGAGAGACAAACATTGTTAGAAGCAAACAAGAGTGTATATGAACTGTTCATAGATGAAACTGACTTTGAGTGTTTAGATGAAAGGTCATTGTACGATTCGTATAAACAATATTGTCAAGAATATGGTTATATGACAGCGTCTAAACGAACATTCTTGGCAAATGTCAAAAGTCTTTTAGACGTACAGAATGGTGTATATACAAAGAAAAATTTTTATGAGTAAATTTTAAAAAAAATATTTTTTTATCCGATAGAAAAGATGGTAAAATTCATCTCAGTAAATAAGTACATGTCAGGACTTAAAGAAGAACTAGACCCATTCACATATTTGAATGTTTACTTCTACCATTTTGAAAAGTCTTCATTCAGCAAAGTTTGGAACATCGAACCAGTTAAGTTTGCTATTGTGACTAAAAATGGTGCGAAATTTGAAGACTTAGACATAGAAGGTTTGTTAGCAGTCAAAGAAAGTTTTGACAGAAGGTTTTCAAACCTTAAAGAAGGCAAAGCATACAAACTTGTTATACCTTATGAACCAAAGAAAGCAGACGACTATGAATATTATGAGTCTAAGATAGTTGAAGTTCAAGGTAAATTGGGTAAAAAGATTTTAGAGTCTAAGCCAGTGTTTGCTCCTAAAGAGGAAGAGAACATTGACATTGACCCAGAAATGTTCTAAAAATAAAATTTTATTTTTACATGTCAAATTTCTTTTTCTCTGGAACTGGTTCAGGTTCTTTCTTCTCTTCTTCTACTTTCTTTTCTTTCTTTTCTTTCTTCTTCTTTTCTGGTGGTGAGACGTCAAATTTGGCGCAACTATATTTATGTAAAAGTTCTTTGTCCTTTAATAGCTCTTCTATTCTGTTTTCTATTTCATCTTCAAGAACAGTGCATGTGTCTTCTTTGCATTCTAAGAACTTTTGTTGGACTTCATCTTTCCAATCGGCGTCATCTCTGTCAACAAGTCTGTCATTGACAAATTTTAAGACTGCTCTGCTTAATGTTTTATGGTTCTTGTCATATTCCCAGAAACAGAACTTTAGAACAAATTCACCTTTCTTGTTTACACTATGTAAGATTTTATGGTCGACAGATGTTTTGCTGTCAAAAAGTTTGTCTCGAATATAGATAGCGAAATCGCTAGACATTTTCTAAAAGATAAAAATTTTAATTTTTCTAAAAATATGTTAGAAAAAAAGTTTGCTGACATTGACAAAAAATTTGAGAATGTTTTAAACAAGAACAAGAGGAAGTTAGAAAATGCTCAGATAAAGCCTATACATGACAAGTTCTTATTTGCTCAGAATGGTATAACAGGTCTAATTGCACCACCTGGGTCGGGTAAGACTTTCACTTATCTTAAAATGGCTGCACAACAACAAGAACTAGATGAGAAGAACCCATTCTATGAGTTAGTTGTTATTTGTAGTACTTCTGGTCAATTTGACCAAACCGTCAATTCGTTCAAAGATATTATAAAGAAGTCTAAGTTAGTATGTATAAAGGATACTGAGTTGTTAGATTGGATAAAGAAGTACCAAAGAAGAGTTTTGAAGTATAATGCTATAAATGAGTATATAAATTCTAAGTTTAAAGACCCTAATGAGGAAATGCAGAGAATATTAGAGAAGAAACACTTCAGAAACAAACAGAAAGAGATAGAATACATTTCGAAGAAATTGCAATCTTACGATTGGAAGACATACCCTCATAGGTGTCTTCTTATCTTAGATGACTTTGCTTCTCATCCTTTGCTTAAGAATAGAGAACAAGATATGTGTCGAATTCTTAAGAAGCTCAGACACTTTAACATCTCAGTCGTAATATGTGTACAGACAGCAAAGAGTTTAAGTAAGGATGTTAAAAGAATACTGACTGACATTATACTTTTCCCCGGATTGTCCGAAGACGATTTCATGGAACTTATGAAAGAGTCCATGGCAGGTAAGTTTGACAGACATGAACTATGGGAGAAGTACAAAGTCATACAAGACCCTCATACTTCTTTCAGAATTCATATCTACGCAAACAAAGTTCAAATTGTAAAAAGTCAAGCTTGAAAAATAAATGGTTCATCTACCCTACTTGTTTGAAGTTGTCAAAATACTCTGTTATTTTTTCCTTCAGTAGCGGTAAGTCTTCTTTGAAGGTAAGTATTGTACAACCTTTCATATCATAGTGTGTTTGAGGTAACGTATCTTGAACTATTTGTTTCACATCTTCATTTGGAGTCATTGAAATCGGTAAGTTTTCGCGATAGAACCAATTTCTGTCAGATTTGTAAATCTTAGCAAGGTCGTAAAAGCTTTTGTTGTTTCTTCTGACTAAATGCAACATAACCATATCTCTGTCTTCTTCTTTCTCCAAGCCCCACTACTTATAGTTCTTTTCCTTTCCTTTTGGTACCGAACGTGGTATTCTTTTCTGAATGCTTTTGTCTTTTGCTTCAATGACTTCATCTTTTGCTTGAAGTTTCTTTTCCATCTCTTCACGTTCTTGTCTATGAATTTCGTCAAGAAGTCTGTAAATATACCAAGCATAACGAGGCGAAGCCCACATTGCAACAGCATTTACAAGAAGTCTATGTACATACCAACCTCTCAAACCATTTGGCAAATTTTTACGATTTTCATGAGTTTTAGGCGACCCCGAAAAAAGTCGGTCTCGCTGTGCTTCGCTCAAAAGTTCTTGTGTGCTTTGGTTTTTGAACCAATCGTCTGTATGTTTGGTATCTGGAGCAAAACATGCTGTCAAAATACTTTGCATCTGGTACATATCGTCTTTGACCGAACGAATGAGACGGAGTTGTTTGTTATACTGAACCCACTCATATTCTTCATTTATGGCTTCATGAACGATAGCAGTTGTTGTGTTCTCTGTTGTTGACATATCTGTCTTTACATACAAAATAAAAAAATAAATAAAAATAAAACTAACTTTATTTTTTCTATCTTAAGGAAATTCATGATTTTCATGTGTTTTATGCAAGACCGAAAAAAGTCGGTCTAGAGAAATTTCACTGTTTTCATAGAGTTTTGGCGACTAAGGTTTTTTACCTACTCGCTGTTCTTCACTGTTTTCGTACGGAATCTCTACCCTCGGTTCTCCGAGGGTAGCAATCTTATGCCATTTTACTCAGATTTTTGTGCTGAATTCAGCAAAAATAATGTTTATGTTAGAATGTTAGATCTAACCTCCTTTCTAACCTCTTTTTTTCACAAGCGTTTTACATGGTAAACGTTATTTTTACATTATGACACGAAGTGAACATTGACACTTCGTCAAAAAAATCCCTGAAATCATATCTTACATACAAAATAAAAAAATAAAATGACACTTTTTCATTAGATAACTGTTATTTTTTGACGAAGTGAACATTGACACTTCGTCAAAAAAATCCCTGAAATCATATCTTACATACAAAATAAAAAAATAAAATGACACTTTTTTATTAGATAACTGTTATTTTTTGACGAAGTGAACATTGACACTTCGTCAAAAAAATCCCTGAAATCATATCTTACATACAAAAAAATATAAAATAAAATGACACTAACTTTATTTTCTGACTTTCACAAAAGACCAAAAATAAACGCTTTACATGTATTTTTCAGCAACTTCGTCAAATAATTTTATAGCTTTATCTATCTCATCTACTTCAAACGTTTCTTTACCTTTTATGGGAGCACCATACATTTTCTCAAACTTTTCAAGTAGTTCTGTTTCTGCAGCTCTCATATCATTAACTAACACAACCTTGACTCTATTGACTGTACTGTCATATCTTAGAGTTATATTATATGTCCTTCCTATCTTATATCTTTTTGTATTGAAGTCCTTCGGTTTCTGAACGATGTAAAGTAAGCCTTCACTGCAACGTTCCGTATCGAATGAACCATATGTTATGAAGTTATATCCAACAACTAGGTCTAACCATAACAAAACTATTGGTATAAGACTTTTGTCTATAAGATATGCTCTTGTTCCATAGAATTTTACCGATATCATAAGCTCAGGATTTCTTGTCAAAATTTTCTGAGTAGAAGCAATTCCAACCCAGTCCTTTGCTTTCTTTCCAGATGGAGATATAATGTCTGACAAAGAATATTTGTTGTATTTCTTTGAGTATCTTACGTTTAAATCACCTATTCTAACCACTTTGGTGTCATTGTCTATCTTTCTAACTGTTTCAAACTCAATGTTTGTCATATATGTTCTTACATACAAAATAAAAAAATAAATAAAAATAAAACTAACTTTATTTTTTATTTCGGGAAAACTCATGAAATTTGGTCATTTTTCAGCAAAAATAAAGTTTAGGTGAAGTGGTGCGATCTCACCTGTTTTTTCACCTCTTTTTTCACAAGCGTTTTACATGAATTGTACGATGTATATTTGAAATCCTAAACAGTTTTGTAGCCTCTATTTCTTCTTTTAGTACATCGAATGTTTTAACAATGCCGAAAGTTTCTTTATACTTCTTCTTGACGTCAGATAGAAGGAAATCTTCTGCTGTTGGATAGTTTTTGTCAAGACTTCATTGTAAATGACCAAAAATATATTTTATGTTAGAATGTTAGATCTAACACGTTTTCTAACACGTTTTCTAACATGGTCTAAAACACACAAAACTCATGAATTTTCAAGACTTCATCGAACTTAAATGTTTTGTCAAGACTTCATTGTAAATGACCAAAAATATATTTTATGTTAGAATGTTAGATCTAACACGTTTTCTAACACGTTTTCTCACATAACTATTTACAAGCGTTTTACATGGTATATGTTGCGATGGTTCATGACTTTAAACAGTTTTGTAGCCTCTATTTCTTCTTTTAGTACATCGAATGTTTTAACAATGCCGAAGGTTTCTTTATATTTCTTCTTGACGTCAGATAGAAGGAAATCGTCAGCAGTTGGATAGTTTTTGTTCAGAAATGCTAACATGTCCATTTTATCTTCTGCTGGCTTTTCTGCTTCTTTCTTTAAGTCTGCATAGTCGTTTCTCATACGTTCTATCTCTTTGACGGAGTAGTTATATCTCCTCATTGCTGCTTTACATTTAGAACATTGCGGGTTCATTTTTGCGTTATATTCTGAAACCTTACCTGCTAAAACAACTAAAGCGTCAATGGTTTTCTTTAACTCAAAAGTTGCTGGTTTTATCTGTTTATTCCATACCTTCCCTCTTCTATCTTTATCTCTTATCTGCCATACACATTCAGCAACTAACGAAACAAAGTTGTCGTAGGTCTTAAATTCTTCAGATTTATATATGTCAGAAACATTCTTATATACCATGTCGCAATCTTTGTCCATAACCTTATGGTTGCAATGAAATCCTAGAAACTCATAGTTTACCTTTCGTATGAACTTCTTTATTTCTACTGAGTCAGTTGCTTTGACTTCTATTTCATCGAATTCAGGAATAGTTAGTTTTTGTTGCTGAATTTCAGGCAATTTGGGTAAATGGTCAATAATGTCCTCCATTTCATAAAGATACTGTTCATTTGTTTCATCTTTCGCACTACAGTCTAAATTACTTGTTAAAAGTTCTTGCTTTATCTTCTGGATTTCTGTTTCGAAAGTATATGAAGAAGGAATGAAGCTTTTCATCTCTACTAACATAGATGTTGGATTCATGACTAACGAGTTTGGTGCTGTAGTTGTTTGTATTGCTGTTGTGCCGATTGTTGACATTTTTATTTTTTTATACAAAATAAAAAAAATAAAAAAAATAAAACTAACTTTATTTTTTATTTCGGGAAAATTCATGAAAATTCAAGAGGTGAAAAAACAGGTGAGATCTAACATTCTAACATAAACTTTATTTTTGGTGTAAATTTCATGATTTTCGAAAGTTTTAGACCATGTTAGAAAACGTGTTAGAAAACGTGTTAGATCTAACATTCTAACATAAACTTTATTTTTGCTGTAAATTTCATGAAAATTCATGAGGTTAGAAAACGTGTTAGAAAACGTGTTAGATCTAACATTCTAACATAAACTTTATTTTTGGGTCCTTTACACTCATTACGAAGAAGTCTTGACAAAACATTTACGAAGAAGTCATGACACTTTTTCATTAGATAACTGTTATTTTTTGACGAAGTGAACATTGACACTTCGTCAAAAAAATCCCTGAAATCATATCTTACATACAAAATAAAAAAATAAAATGACACTTTTTCATTAGATAACTGTTATTTTTTGACGAAGTGAACATTGACACTTCGTCAAAAAAATCCCTGAAATCATATCTTACATACAAAAAAATATAAAATAAAACTAACTTTATTTTTTCTGTCTTAAGGAAATTCATGAAAATTCATGAGGTTAGAAAACATGTTAGAAAACATGTTAGATCTAACATTCTAACATAAACTTTATTTTTGGGTCCTTTACACTCATTACGAAGAAGTCATGACAAAACATTTACGAAGAAGTCTTGACAAAACATTTACGATGAAGTCATGACAAAACATATACGAAGAAGTCTTGACAAAACATTTACGAAGAAGTCATGAAAATTCATGAGGTTAGAAAACGTGTTAGAAAACATGTTAGATCTAACCTTCTACCCTAAATTATATTTTTTGGTCCGGGAACAACTTTCTCTCAATAGGGGCTGTAGCGTACTCTTTGCGTAAGCGGTTCAGACCTTCTTCGAACTCTTGGTCTCTCTTCGATTTGGATTGAGATTGAGATTGTTGGGGTGGAGCTTGCTGGAACATCCAAGGGTTGGGGAAGTAAGGCATAGGCAGAGGAGGGTAGTTCGGGAAGCCTTGTGGTGGGTAGTAACCTTGAGGTGGAAATTGGTAGTAATTTGGTGGAGGTACTTGCTGGAACTGAGCTTGCTGAGGAGACTGTTGTGGTTCTTTAGGTTCCTCTGGTTTGGGAATGGACTGGGTTGGTGGGACGTCGGACATTGTCTTGAAACAGTACAAATATTGTTCTGAAACAGTGCAAGTATTGTTCTGAAACAGTACAAGTATTGTCTTGAAACAATACAAGTATTGTCTTGAAACAGTACAAGTATTGTTCTGAAGCAGTACAAGTATTGTTCTGAAACAGTACAAGTATTGTTCTGAAACAGTCCAAGTATTGTTCTGAAACAGTACAAGTATTGTTCTGAAACAGAAAATTTTTCTCACAAATTGAGAGCTTTTACGGGAAATTTGTTCTGAAAAAGTTCAAGTCTTGTTCTGAAAAAGTACAAGTATTGTTCTGAAACAGTACAAGTATTGTTCTGAAAAAGTACAAGACTAGTTCTGAAACAGTACAAGTATTGTTCTGAAAAAGTACAAGACTAGTTCTGAAACAGAACAATGGACAACATCGAGCCATTAGATGAGGCAATTTACCTTATAGAGATAAATGAAGTTGTTAAGCAGTACTTGGGCAAGGACAAAGCCAACAAGTCCCTCGGCTTCTGGTTGTCTGGAAGGGCTGTCTTGAATCTCGAGACTTCGACCGAAATTCCAATTCAAATACCAGACGGGACAGCCTACGACGACATAAAGCAAGCAAAGAAGGAAGCCATTATAAAGTTCTTTGCCAAGCGTCCTTGGATACTACTTCCAAACAGAGAGAGTCCAATTCCACGAATTATACAAATTCTCAGAGCACTGTTCCACTTCTCGGGTCAACCATTCTACATAACCTGTGAAGGCGACATCCAACCAGTTCAGTAAACCTTAACGTTTAACTGCACTTTTTTATGTTTTTTGTGAAAGTGTCAAAAATAAATTGTTTTCATGAGTTTTCTACGATATTAGAAAAAATGTTATTTTCTAATATCTTCACATTCAATACTTTTTCAGCACTTTTCCGTAGTTATATATGAAAGACAATTCGAGATAAAAGTCATAGTACAATGGAATAATATGTTGCACACCATTTGTTGTGAACCAAACTTGAAAGTCAGAGAAACTGTTACTAGGTGGTTCGTAGAATTTAGAAGCAAAGTCATAAAAGTCCTTACCAATACATAGAAAACTATTGTTGCTTGAACTGAAACTTGCATGACACATAACATTTTGAGGGTCAAACACGTTTCTATAAACTGTCAAATCTGCTGGTGGAAGTATAAATTGAAATGGACCATCTGGTGGTAATGGTTCGTTCTGGTTTAGTAACCGAAGAAATTGTGCCCAAGAACGTTTGTCTACTTTCCAAAATAAAAACTCTGTATCTCTTGGAGGGTTAATTTCAATCTTTTGAAATGAAACGGTGGAGTTCATCTTGTCATATTCTAGTTTCAGATAGTATGTTCCATTTAGTAAAGAGTCGTATTTTTCTTGAAATTCCCAATAATATTTGTTCATTTGAGTTTGAAAGTCATTTAGAGTTTTCTCAAGACTTTCGTCTGAACGAACTGTAAAGATTCTCATTTCGTCAAATTTGTCTATTAGACCATCAGAACCTTTATACTGCCCATGAAAATATACTGCGAACATAAATGCGTTAGTTCTATTTGAAAACAAAACTCTTCTAAATCCTATTGCCTTTGCATCTGAAGGACTTTGAAGCCAACGAATTGGATAGTCAAACCTGTATACTCGGGATGAAATTTCTTCATCTGAAATAGTCCTACCAGCATTTGTAAAGATATAGTCTAACGGTTTTGTATCTGCTACTTTTGTTCTTTGTTTTTCAACCTGAAGCATTTAATATATGTAAAAATATATTGTTTTAAAATGGTATGCCATTTCATATTTCTCATCTAACAAACAAGTTTCCCAACTCTGCTTTTATTCTAGCAGACTCTGCTTTTATTCTAGCAGATTTTCTATCCATTCTATATGGGGGCATTTTTATAAAATAAAAAAATATTTTTTTCTTTACTTAACATAACCGCCTGCTGCCATAAGTCTTTGACGCCAACCCATACCAGCTAATGAAGGTTGACTTGGTTTAGTTTCCAAACTAAACTTTGGTTTTGGTTTATCTTCAGTTTTGGTTTTTCTTCTTCTATCGGTTTTTCGTCACTATTTCGGTTTCTCTGACTTTACTTCACTTGCAGAGAACAGTTGTGTCGTCAACATCTTCCATAAATATCATATGCCATTTGTTTTTGTTTTCCTTTCAACTTTTTGTGTTTGTTGTAAAGTTTAGAATATTTCGACTCTAAGTCAATGAGATGTTCTATAATGAACTGTTGGTCAGTGAAGTAAACTTTTTCATCTGTTTGTCTCGAAAGCTCCTTCAGACTTCAAATATTTTATTTGTGAGAGTCTGTTTCTTTTTTGAGATACTTGCCGTTCCATTTTTATGAAAAGTGACTTTGTAGTTAGGGTTTTGTATTTCCAGACCTGGCACTTTCTATTATTGAATTTTTCTCTCTTCATCTGTAAGTTCTTTGACAGGTTTTGACAATGGTTCTGAACTTTTTGTTTGTGGTGTCAAATCTACCGTTTCAACTTCTTCGGTCATTTCATCTCAGTAAAAAATTTTAGTTTGGTTTGTTTTCAACTGGTTGTTGTTGTTTTTTAAGTCGGTCTAAAACTTCCTGAGGTAATAGGAAGAACTTGACAAACCGTTGTGTAACTGCTGGAAGCCGACAAATCCATCTTGAACCCATTTGCTCAATGCTGTATTGTTCATTTCATCTCAGTAAAAAACTTTACATTCCCCACGTTTGAGGCGGTTGAGGTTGGTTATTGTTTACCCATTGTTGTGCATGGTTATATCCTCTGTTAAAGAATCTTTCACCTTGGTCCATATAGTGTCCTGCCTTGGTTATAGTAGTCATTTGCTTTGTTATAATAGTTTTCCTGCTTGTCTTCCTACATTGTCCATCCATCCTTGAACTTTCCTCTTGTTTCAGGATTTGGAATAAGATTTGTTGCATCTCGTGCTACATCCCAACCTTTCTGTACAGTTTGTATAATAGGTTGTGCTTTCTCTTTAAGTATACCTAATGTACTCAAAATCTTCCTTCCAACTCCAAAATACACCTCTGGCTATTGTTCTGCGGGCAAAAATCTGGATGCAACTCCTGCTAATGCGCCAAATAACCCATTTCTTATGGGTTAAAAAATGACGAATCCAAACAAGGACCCTATGTTTCTAAAGCGACAAAGAAAGCACTCATGATAAAAATCTTTAGTTCACACCAAATGCTTGGTTTATGGATATCTTGGAAAATTCCGAGAGTTAGAACAGATGGACCACCATACTGGCTAATATTTGTCGGTCAAACACAAGATACTGTGAAGCCATACCATTATGGTCCAAAAAATATTTTAGATGTGAAAACTGCTTTGACAATATTCGTTGACAAATACCATCCAACAAAACTGACATCTGACTGTGAAAGTTCTTTCAAATCAGATGATGTAAAAAACTATCTGCGTTCAAAAAATGTAAACCAATATTTCATTGTCGACCAAAACCATTCTGCTCTTGGTGTCATTGACGGTTGTATAAAAATGTTAAGAGACTTAAACAACCACAAGGTGGTGAAGCAAATGAAAGTCATATGACGACAAATATAGACACTTCTCCATGGCAAAGATGAGACAAGTTTTAAATATTTACAAATAGCCGTAAACAAAAAGGTTTGGGAAACCACTCCCCCGAAGAAATGAAAAAACAACCTGACTTAGAGAAGACTATATATTTATTTAATATTTAGTCAAAAGAGACAAAACAGAAAGAATCCTGGGCTTCAAACTTCAGAAAGGTGACAAAGTAAAAATAGAAATACCTAAACGCGACCCATGAAAATACTATTGACTATGACAACAATGGGAAACCCGACAGGTACTCACATTCGTGTTCGTAAAAATAGAAGAAAGTATACAAGAAGAATATTATGAAGTTTTAGGCAAACATGGCAAAATGTACACACTGCAAAGCAGAAGTAAAACTACTATTGTCAGACCTCGTTCAAACTTGTCAAAGTTCAAGGTGGTATACTTTCAAAGACAGTTCCTAACAAATATAAGACAACTCCTGACGAATATGCTAAAGAAGTTGAAAATGACGACTAAGCATTTCTATACCATGCGTAAACTGTCATGTAAGGTGGCATGTAGTCTTTACTTTGTCCCGTTGTTTGCGTATATCCTGAAACGCGATGTGTATGGTTTCCTCCTCCCTCAGTGTTACTCCAGTAACAATTTATAGCAAACTTAACGTTGTCTTTAACATCATATCCTTTACCTTTTATCATTGCTGACCAATCCCAATATCTATGCTTATGCCAACCTGCTTGAGATGTACTTAAATCTATGTAGTGACTATGTGCAGGTAAAGTTTCACCTGAAATCGTTTACTTCCACCTGTTTCCTTTGAAGAGTTTGCACAATACACAAAAACCTGTCGACTATTTGAGTCCAAGTTCCAAAACCCAGAACTGTTCTGGATTTGTTGAGTTCATTGACGTATAAATAGAGCCTATAGGATATAAATGTTTGAAGTATTTCTGTCTTTAATGTTTTGAAGCTCTTTTTTGTCTGCTTTCTTGTCATATAAATCTTGAGCAGTGAATTTAATATTATTTCATCCTTCATGACATAAACATCTTTACATCTAATGTTTCTCATCGTCGTTATGTCGTCATCCGATGTTAAACTTGTGGAAAGTTAGGGAGGTTTACAATATAATGCATCCCACCAGTTACGTCAACCGTTCCTCAATACTTTCTATAGCAACAGTTGTAAAACTTGTATGTGTATGAGTCTTATTTGCTTTCTTCTCTAACTCATCGTTAACATAATTTTATCTGCTTTAAGGTCTAAACATCCTGAAAACCCATCCTGTATCGGCTTTAGTTTTTAAAATCTTCGATGTCCATTCATGGTACCAGTCAACCCTTTCTATAATTTCTTTAATCTTTTTCATCCACATATTCCTTATCTGCTTTCTTCTCTAACGCACTAGCCACACAATCCTTATCCGCTTTCTTTTCAAGGCTAACGTTTAAGTCTGTTATTTCAGATATAGAATGTGTATGAGTCTTTTTAGAATATTCGTTTTCAGCTCTTGTCACTTCACTTGACATTTTATTGTCAACATATGTTTTGTCTGCTAGTTCAGGATGAGTATGTTCTTTGTTGCATAAGCATTGTTAGCTCTTTCTTCTTCTTTTGCTATTGCATCGTCTACATATTCTTTGTCAGCTTTGTTGTCAACATCTGCTTTCAAAAGAAGTTCATTTATAGGTTTCTCGTTAAAGTTCCTTTTGTTGGATTTATACAGACAGTATTTCTTCTTCTTGTCTTGAAATAGAAACTCATCTGTCATTGGGTTTAATGTCAGTTTTAAGTTTCCTTCTTTCAATGACTCAGATATCTTAGAATAGTTTGAAAAGTTTGTTGTGTTCTTATTTAGAGCTTGCATAATGAGTTGTCGGTTGTGTTGTATTTCTCTCATGGAAGCAATATCTTTCGACATTTTTATTCTAGATAAAATATGCTTCAATAGAAAAAGAAAATTCAAGAGTTGCTACAACTAAACCATTAGATGAACTTTTTACTAATGTCGGTCAAAAGTTTGAGACAGAGACCGTAAAGCATGAAGGCTATCGTTTTGACTACCCATTAAGATGGCTAAGAGACCCATCTGTCACAAAAGCTATTGGCTTTCGTAGAATGAAGTTCATTTCAGAAGCCATACATGGTTCCCATTTACGGTCGGTTTTGAAGTTCGATACTATAACAAAGAAAAACGTATGTATGAGAAATTT